AGTGTCTTATATTAATTTTTGCTCTGAAAAATGCGCTAGGTCTTATTTTCAGGGAATGTCTTATTTTTTCCAGGAAGAAGAATTCACATTTATTATTGAACAAAAAAATTCCCAAGTCGAACTTAGACGAGAGTGACGTATATCCGGTGTGTCGAACTGTCGCCTTTTTATAGCGTCAACATCGGACTCGCTGACCAATTAGTGCTTACTGAACCGTAGCACTATGCAAATGTCGTGTGGTTTATCAACCTTCTTGGCCCCCGAAATGTTTGGTGAAGAAAATATGGCCCGCGGACTATGATAAGTTGGACAGCGCTGTATATATACAAATTTACAATTGTCAAGTGATTTCAATTTATAAATTTTTTCCAAATCGGAATTACATAACAGGTATGACTCTCTTGTTAACAGGAAAAGTATAATGTACAGGGACAAGCCACTACTAAAATCGAGAGTAAAGTTTTTAAATTTATATTTAGATAAGGTCACGAGTCTTCATTAAAGTCAATCCTTGCATTTACACGTAATGTGAAATGCAATTTTCTGATAATTTTGATTTATTTCGGTTATACGTAATGACGAAACATTAATTATTATATAATATGCTAAGTGCAGAAGGCGCTTTACAAATTATATAGAAAATAGTAATTACTATATATAAATTATATAGTAATTAGCAACTTTCACAACTATGAAGATATATACAATTTTTAAAGCATTCTTAAAATAAATAACATTACCTATCGTTATTATTTATTAGTTAATCAATATGTGAAAATATAGCAATTTAGAGGTTATAAGTAAAATAATTATTATAAAATGGCAAAAAGCTTAATCCTAAGGATAGTGATATTACAGTTTTACATTAAAAAGTAAAACTGTAAATGCTAATAACGAGTAAAATCACTAAATCCGTCACCACTCGAGATAAGACACATGACTCCCTTTATCTCCTCATCCCGTTGATATTTAACCACCAAAATTTAATCTCATCAATGACCCTTATATACAAACTACCATGCCAAATTTTTTTACTTCATCATTACCCTATCCTGAGATATTAAGATAAACGAAATAAACGACAACACATACAAACACACATACATATTTCGGGTATCACTTACGACTCCTATCTTACCTTCCTTAAGCTTCAAAGAAGATCGAACCACACACAAGCACACACACACACTAACATACCTACATACAGAAATCCCCGAATTTTTTTTTTTTCATTTCTCGACGTTTCGAGGTCCCCTGAGTCCAAAAATGTAAAAA